ATTATGATTTCATATTCATGTCCGTAACTAACTCTTTTCCAAAAGACCATAAATCAAGTCTGTAGCAGTATGTCTGGTTTTTTTGTTCATCTCTGTTGTCTCTGTATCCACCAGATTACACAATATACAGGAAGAAGGAAGGAGGGAGTAGAAGGAAGGGGAAAAAGGGAGCGAGGAAGGAAGGAAGGAAGGGAGCGAGGGAGGAAGGAAGGGAGGGGGGGAAGGAAGGAAGGAAGGAAGGAAGGAAGGAAGGAAGGAGGGAAGGAAGGAAGGGAAGGAAGGAAGGAAGGGTATCAGCTTGTTTGCCTAGGTAAGACAGCCCAAAAGGAAGAAATTTTTCAGTAACTACTCTACCTTGGCTGGTCTGAGATCTAGATAGACTCAAATCCAGAACATTACTGCTACTATAGTACTACCGGAACACTGTAAGCAGAAAAGAACAAATTAGTCAACGAAGAACAATGAGTGAAAAGGGTTTATAAAAATGTAGGGAAGTGACATATGTATACCTGCTTTTAAGAATTATAACCTAGTCGGGCGTTGGTGGCGCAAGCCTTTAATCCCAGCACTGGGGAGGCAGAGACAGGCGGATTTCTGTGAGTTCGAGGCCAGCCTAGTCTCCAGATCGAGTGCCAGGATAGGTTCCAAAGCTACACAAAGAAACCCTGTCTCGAAAAACCAAGAAACAAAAAACAAAAAAAACAAGAATTATAACCTAGACAAAATAGAGATTTTATATTATCCTAAAAATCAAAAGTAATGGTGATATTATTATTATACCTCCAATGCATATCTACTATCTAAAAATGGTTCACTATAATAAAAGAGTTATTTTAAGAACTACTTATAAAGCTATTAGAGTTAATCCAAATGCATATGTTAAAGAAAATCTTTCAAATTTGTACAATTTCATGGTGCAAAATGCTTCCTCAAATACGAAGACAGTACCTTCTGGGCACAGAGGCACATGCCTTTAATTCTAGCATTAGGGAGGCAAAGACCCCGTCTCTGTGAGATTAAGCACAACCTGATCTACATTACAGGACAGCCAGGGATATGGTAGAGAGATCCTGTCTCAAAACAAACAAAAAAGGAACAAATATAGTTGCTAGACTTTTTAAATTTTCTACATGATCTTAAGTAGTCTAGGCCAGGGAAAATTAAGTGATTCTTAATGAAATTATCAAATCCTTATGACTAACAAGAATCAACTCTAAGTACATCTTACTCCCACTCCAGAGAAAGGACACAACAGTTCCTTGCTGCAACTCAACTAATAAAACAAGAACAAAACAAACAAATAAAACTTTATCATATCTTATTTCCTATATAATAAAAAGCATTACCAAGTAACATTTTCTTTCTGTGTTTTGGATGGTAGTGGTACGAGGGCAGAGTGTCACACTCTGGCTGGCCTGGAAATTGCTAGCTAGACCAGGTTGATCCCAAGTTTACAGTGATCCTATTGATGCATCCCAAGTATTCAGAATATAGATACATAGCACTACACAGACTGAAACAGCATTTTCTTAATCTATGATGGTCCATTCACAAGTTATATATACTATAAAAGTATATGAAACATAATAACTAAAAAAGTTCCAAATTTAAACTTCATATATTTTCACTACAACTAAACCAAAACACTAGTAATATGAACTATATGAAGAATTTTCCTTAATAGGTTTCTACTTCCAACACTTAACTTTAAGGTAGCTTTATTTAAATAAATTCTGTGTAATATTGGTTCTTTCTAAGACTATTCCCCTCCAAAATGAGAAAAGAGAAGACCACCAGTGAAGACAATTTTCTTCCAATAGCCATATGTTAAAAACATTCACATTTCTCTGCCACAAAAAAACTATTTGATCTAATGTTTCTTAGAATATTAAAGAATGCTGAGGGTGGGCTAGAGAGATGGCTGCTCTTCCAGAGGACCCAGGTTCGATTCCCAACACCCACATGGCAGCTCACAACTGTCTGTAGCTCCACTTCCAGGAGCTACCAATCCAATAACCTCTTCTGGCCTCTATGGGCACAGATAAACAATAGATAAAGTGAATAGATAGATGGATAGATAAGATAGACACACACAGGCAGACAGGCAGACAGATATTTAAAAAAAGAAAAAATAAATCTTGGGAACTTACTTTGGGAGAAAAGTCCATCTAAGAAAAGTTCTAAAAACATTTATGAACCTTGGGACTCTGGGACTCTGGGACTCTGGAACCATTAATGTCAAACATATGCCTTAACCTATCTAAGTCAAAGGTTAAACAGAAGTTAGGTGAAGCAATGTGTACCTGAACTCCAGCTGTGTGGCAGACAGAAACAGAAGAATCTTCCCTGACCAAGAAATACAAGTCTAGTGTGATCTACATAGTGAGATCCCTTTAGGACATGTGGTTCATGCCTTTAATCCAGAACTCAGGAAGCAAGTGAATAATTTATGAGATTGAGGCCATCCTGGTCTATATAACAAACTCTAAGCCAGCCAAGGCTACATAGTGAAGCCCTGTCTTTAAAAAGCAACATACAATAAAAATAAATAAGTAAATAGAGATTCCCCACCTGAGGGGAAAAAAAAAAAAAAAGATTAACAAGAATTTAGCACCACACAGATTTGTGTATTAAAGGAGTAAGTGCAAGTGCAACTGAGTGCAGGTGCCCAGAGTCTTTGCATCTACTGAAGTTGGAGGTGCAAGCTTTTATGAGTTGTCCAACACGGTGCTAGGAACCAAACTAGGGTCCGCAGGAAGAGCCACGAGTGCTCTTAGTCACCAAACCATCTCTCTCTAGGTCTTCAATACTTTAGATTATTATCATCAAAACACTTTCAGAACAAGTTTTAGTACCTCAGTTATGAAATAATCACTAAAATACAAGCCTTGTCTAACACATATAGAAAAAAATACACTATATGAAAAATTATTAATGTACTTATTTAGTCATGTATCAAGAGAACTCTGATACTGAAGTTAAACATTACAAAGATTAATCCTAATGTAGATAAATCCTAATTTCGAGAACTACATGAACTAGGTACATTAAAAATTTTAAGAACATTAGCAAATAAGCATTATACATATATAGAAGAAAAATCATTTGTGGGCAACAAAACCTTTTACTTTTAATATACATTCATCTTTCTTGATAGAACAGACAAATTCTGTCTCCAAGAAAGCATCAACTAACTGAATCACATTAAGAATTTAATTCAAGCTGGTCAGTGGTCAAGAGCACAGGTTGCTCTTCCAGAAGAATTTAATTCAAGACAGGCATGATGGGACAGCTTTTGGTAGTATAAGTGCTTGGGAGACAGAGCTAGGTGGATTTCTGTGAGTTCAAGGTCAGCCTGGTCTACACACTGAATTCCAGAACAGCCAAAGTGACATAATGAGACCCTCTCTTTTGAAAATATAAACGATCAAAATAAAGAATTTAAGTTAAACCTTATCATCATTAATTACATTCTGAATCAGAAACAACCAAACAAATGAATGGCATAACTATTTCTGATCTTTTACCATTTTGCTCTTGCTCACTAAACTAGAAACACTGGCCTTCTTATCACTGTCTACTGAGTCAGTTTTTATGCCTGCTGTTCCTTCAGGGATTGCTCTTCTGGCAGCACTTGCTCAACTTTAACCTCAGAGAGGCCTCTTTGACTACTCTATGAAACAGTTACACCCGGAGTATTCGGTGTCAAACAGTTGACACAGAGTTCAATAAATACTTGTTGAATGAATTTGCAAGCCTACATACAATTTCAATAAAACAAAAACAAATCTGAAAATTTTAAAGTATATTAGCAAAATACTTAATAGAGTCCCAATTTGAAATTTAAAAAAAAAATCAAAACTTCAATAGATTTTTATGGCAAATTCTAAGTATAAAGATTAAATCTGAACTCAGAAATCACAGCAAATATATTATTTCATGTCATGTGAAGTCTGTAAATCTCTGATAATTCACAAGCCAAAGGTAACACTCTTAGGTCTTAAGTATAAGTATTTAAAATATAAAGGTATGCATCAGAATATACAAATTCAAAATGAAGTTAATAGCATACCTGATCCATATCATCAAATAGTAGCATTTACCACACAATAACGAGAAGTGTTAAACAGAAAGAAGTTGGCCACACTATTTCTAGCCAGGCTATTTTAGCTATGGAATAGCTAAAAAAAATTTAAAGAGAGCCTTTAGTCTCAGCTACTCAGGAAGTTGAGAAAGGAAGATTCCTAGAACCCAGGAATTCTAAGTCCAAGCTAAAAACAACATAGCAAGAGTAAGAAAGACAGCATGGGGGCAAGAGCAAGAGAGGAGAAAGATAGGGAGGGAGGGAATGAAGGGAGGGGAGGGAAGAGGAGTGGAGGGAGGAGAGAGGGAGGGAGGGAGGGAGGGAGGAAGGTTGGTTGGTTAGGAGAAAGGAGAAGGGAAAAGAAAGAAATGAACTAGCTAAAAGTCTTTGAGCGAAAGACATTCATGACTGTATAAATATTTGGTTCAATCATGTGTTTTAAAAGCACTCCATCAACTACTACACTCTGTTTACTCACTTAGTTGATCTGGAGACTGGTCCCATGTCATTGAGCAGTCTAAGCAAGGGCTCTACCACTGAGTTACATGTCCAGTCCCATTCTTATTTTTCCAAAGACAATTGCAGTTGAAAGAACACAGGTAACAGACCAAAAACAAAACAAAATAAAACAAAAGGTTCCATATGACCTTCAACTCAATGGCTTCCATGTTCCAATGACACAACATCATCCTCGTTTCACATTAGTCAAAACACTTACAAATTCAAAATTTGATTTTAAAGGGGGGAAGGGACAGAATACTCATGAATCAAATACAATATCACACATATCTAATAGCACTTCAATGCTAAAAAATAAATGTTTTGATTAGAAAACACTAGAGAATAAAAGTTTACCATCTGCTACTCACATAAAACCCCTGGAACAATTTTAAGTTCTGTAGTCATAATAACTTACCGTTACAGATTTCAGCGTCATGCCATGGTACGTGCCCATAGTATCGATCTTAAAGCCTTCCGTTTCTGCAAAGAAAAGGAGTCTATTATGATTTATGTATTTCATGACAGGTAAAAATTTCAATCATAATTTACATTACACCTAACAATTCAACAGTGTAACAAGACGTTAAATATACTATACAATTTTATCACATTTCTAAAAATTAAAAACTTTTAAGATACTATTTGCAAAAACATCTTCAATAAATGTCAAAGCACTGATTTCATAGAATCTGGCTAAGATTATCTTTCAAAATCTGTTTTAAAATCACACTAAAGGGCTAGAGAATAGGTTCAGCAGTTAAGAGCACCAGCTATTCTTGCAAAAGACCCAAGTTCAATTTACAGCACACACATATCTGCCCACAACTACCTTTAACTTCAGTTCCAGGGTATCATATACCCTCTTGTGGCTCCATGGACACCAGGCACATATGTAGTACATAGAAATACAGGTAGCCAAAATATCCATACACATAAAAATGATATAAATTTAAATCATATTAAATAAAAAACTTGTAATCCCTTTAGTTTTACTACTAACTACTAAATGACTGTACCACAAAAAGCATGTAAAATAGGAAGTTCCTAAATTATAAAAACTTCTGTTCCAAAGCTTAATGTAAGAGATGTATTATATGTTTATCATAAAATTGTGCTATAAACAATGATGAGAGTTTCAGGGCATAAGTGCAACATGTTCTTCTCTCTCTTTGAAAAATAAACATTCTTTTCATGCATGGCAATTTATTTTCATTCTTGTTTTGGCTCTTATAGTCAAGCAACTAACGACAGTCAATTTGGGACTTTGACAATATTTTACCAGTGGATGAACAATATAAACATTTCATAGTTATTAAAATAAGATATGCATTGCTTAAATTTCATCTAGGTTATGTGACTATGATTTTTTTTTTTTTTTTTTTTTTTTTTTTTTTTTTTTTTGTT